GCGGTACCAATGTAGTATGCCCATAATTTTGCCTGGGTATGTCCATAATTTGTGCATTCTGGTAGTTGGTTATAAGCGTAATCTTGCGGTACCAAACTGGATGCACCTCGATGCTGGGCATGCAAATAATTTCCACCGGCCGTTTTCTGGGTATAGATGCAAGTTGGTGCTGGGACTGGGTGTACTGGGTATTCCCATCTTTAAGTGGGGTACAGATGCAAATTTCCTTTTTTTCATTTACTATCCGCCTGGACGTCAGTCAGGACAGCCCACCCCGTACATATGTAATTGTCTACCGCGTGGGCGCGGGGAACGCAGCCCTAAGGTAGCCAAATCAATGAGACTACGAGCTAACACGAGAGAGAGAGAGAGAGAGAGAGAGAGAGAGTTTTGTTCCGTTTGTTGATACAAATGAGAGAGAGAGAGAGACAAAGAGAGAGAGAGAGAGAGAGAGAGAGAGAGAGAAAGAGACTGAATGGGAAAATTGAAAAACGGGTCAAATTGCGGTCGCGATCTATTTTGCAGTTGGAATGATTTTTTTAAGTTTATTTACCGTTTTCTCTCTCTCTCTCTCTCTCTCTCTCTCTCTCTCTCTCTCTTGTGTTAGCTCTTAGTCTCATTGATTTGGCTACCTTAGGGCTGCGTTCCCCGCGCCCACGCGGTAGACAATCGAATCGGCGCGGCGATTATTTCGCAGTGTAAATGATTTTTTGTAAATGTTCTATTATTATTTCTAGAAAGAACACGACCTCATCTATGGATTCTGAAAATTTCAGATTTTTGTGCATGTTCGTCCGAGCACAGAAAATCGTCAAAGTTGCCTCTTGCAAAACGCCTATTTCGTTGTGCCTAACCTCCCTGTTTTGAGAAGACGGGGCTCAATGCCTGGGCCTGAGGGCCCTTTTGCAGTTCACATGCCCGCACTTCTTTTTGGGGTCCGCTTCTACCCCGGGACCGGTCCAACGCCCCCCACTTCTTTTTGGGGTCCACTTCCAACCGAGGACCGGTCCTTCCTTTTTCCAAAAGTCCCGGTTCTAGAAGAGCTAGCTGTAGGTAGTCCGCAATTTTGCCAAGGACCGGTCCCCAAAAAACATTTGTCCCCTAAGAACCCACTTTGCGTCCTGGTCGCC